CCTTAAAATTTCGCGTCAAAGAACATGAGGCATACGTTAGAAAAAAGGAAACACAGAAGTCTTCTGTTGCTCAACATTGTTGGTCCGAAAATCACACTTTCAATTTTTCTGCTGCCAAAATTATTCAAAAAACATCTTCCATTGGAGAACTGGATTTTCTAGAGGCATTTCACATTCATAAAAATATTTCTGTTCTAGTTAATGATCCTAATTCCAATCCAAATTTGCCTTCGGCTTTTAGAGAAATTATGTTTTAGTTCTGGTTTCGCCAACAGATGGCGCCACTTGCTTATTCTTGTCCAGGCTTTCTTATCTTATCTAATCATTATTTCCTATCTTGTTCATTTGCGGTTTTGCAGCTGAAGGTGATGGTTCGGTAAAACCATCGAAACTAGTCCTGTGAAAATTTTGTAAATATAACGCTGATTTTTGTTGTTTGACTTCTGAATTAAACATTTAATTTTCACTTCCTGTTTTCTTTAGTTAGCATACCTATGGCTGTCTGGAAATATATGTTGCAACCCTCTCGACTTGAAATGAAATGATTTGATGTATGATTGATTTGCTGTCATTTGGCTTTATTTTGTTTATTTCATTTCCCGATAAGCCTTTTGTCACTGATCCCTCCTTGCAAATATAATGGCTATGTTTTTTACCGCACTTCTTGCACCATATTCGATCGCGGCGAAATCTATAAGCATGAGATTCTTTTAAACAATTAAAACAATATCCGAGATGTAATAAACTAGCCTCCCGTTCACTTATAGTTACAGGACATTTATCTATCGTATGTTCATCTGTAGAACAAAATGTACATGCATTTTTTATTGCAGTAGTGTTTAATGCCGCTGCTGTCAGTAGACGTTTAGAATTCTCATATTTCCTGAACTGCGAAATTTTCATTTTATCGACTTCATCTGTCTTGCGAAATAAAAATGTTTTCTCATGTGTTTCTTTTTCCCGTTTAAGAAACTGTTGTAATTTTAAACAATTCCATGAGTTTTCTTCGTTAACAGAACGATTATATTCTAATACCATATCTTCAGAAATTAATTTTACTAAAATGATGAAAAGAATTCCACTGCAATTGTTTAGTTCAATTTTGGCTGTTTCAAGACTTTGAATCTGGATAGTAATTGTGTCATATAACTGTTTCTTCCTTTAAGTTCGAACATGATTTCGCAATAGTTAAGCCTAAAAGTTTGTTTACGTGTGAACGTACAATAATTTTGGTTTTAACAAATCGCTCTTTTAATAGCTCAACAGCTAAATCGTAATTATTTTGTGTTAATGTCAATCCTTTTATACATTTTTATGTGGAATCCTTTAAAAATGGTTTTAAATAGTTTATCAATTTTTGATAACTGTTTATTCTCATGAATTGCACCTTCAAACTGTCCACAAAATCCCTGCCAGTTTTCATATTTGCCGTCGAACGGTTCTGTTTTTAATTTTGACAGTTTGACATTAGGATAATTAATAATTACCCCTTCTTCAGGAATTCTAGAGGATTCATTGTGTGCATCAATTTTACTTTTGTTTTCACGTTTACGCTTAAAGTGTCTTTCAAGTTTCGATTTGGAACTCGTAATCTTTTCGCGGTATTCCTGGCTTGTCAGAACATCAGCTTCAAGCATTTATAAATTACTTATAATGCTTTCTATGGTAGATTCTAGCTGATAGATCTGATTAGCTTTTTCTTCTCACATTTTAAGTCATCCAAATAGTCATAATTAATATTGTATTTATTTTATTCACAATTTTAGTTAAAGAAATTTGAATAGTTTTTCTTTTACTCTTTAACTTCTCTAATTCACTAGGCTGTGTCATTTTTAATTACTATAGCTCCCGGTAGTTCTGCACCATAGAACAAATCGGATATAAATAATAGATCTTACCTGGTTCTTGAGCTTTTAAAGAGAGTAATTGAATATTACTTAGCTTTTAATCTTTTATTGACACATTGTAACATTGTACGAAGAACAATTCACTTGACAAGACACATCTTGCATATCTAGCTACATTCTAAAGATAAACGTAAACAAATCAGTTTTAAATTCAAGGGCTCACTATCATCCCCTATCGGCTGAGTTTGCAACAGTATCCATCCTATGTGTTAATACAGTGAAATGTAAATGCCTTTTAATACAACTGATAAGGAATTCATAGTATTTGCATCGACACTTTATTTCACTGTCTGAACTGAAATTATAATTGATGTAGAATATTTGATTATGTTTAGTTTCATATACATCTTAAAATACTCCAGATAAAATTTAGTAGCATGTTAGAAGTTAGAATGTGTATCTCAAATAAAAGCAGGTAAAAATTTTCAGTTAGGTTATAATAAGAGAGATTGCCAGAAGGCCATGATTTTGCAAATAAATATTTTGTTTAGCACTGAAGTATTTGTGAAGGAAGTGATGAGAAATACTGGATTTTGATAACTTGCAAATTTCACTTATATCTTTGATACTGAATTATTTATATTCATCCTTAGAGTGCAAAAAAATTTATTTTATGATTGTTAACTTCTTCTATTTTTAAATTAATCACTCATAAGGCATTTTTAACAAAAACAACAAACATTTATTAAAAGATAAATCATACTTGTAATTTATTAGGTTTACAAGTAACTTACTCTGAAACATACTTATCATAACAGACATTCTTACTGCAGCAGACATGTCTATATTTCTTAGAATTTAAAGAAAATAAAACTAGAATAACTGTTACCATTTCTCAGTAGATATTCTGCCTAATAACAAATATTTTACAAACATGCTTACACGATGTTTTGTCTCTTTTCATGAGAACAGTGAAATTGAAATATCATCAAGGTTAACTTTTTTTAAAGCCCTCTTTTACATATTTCAGAAATCAGTGTCAATGAGGTAATTTTATCTAATTTTTATGGATAATTTGTAGTTTACTGCAGAAAGAATAATTCTAGAGATACTTACCTACTTTTCCTTTCTAACTATGTTTGACAAATAAAAACTGTCTCTAGTGAGATTTATCACTGATAATGGATTAACGCTCATTTATGCACATACCTGTATTTGTTAAATAGAGAATACTTTAAATTTCTACCTTCATCAGTTTACAAATAGAGAGACTTTAGATGTTAAAGGATAGTTAGTTGTTTTTCTTTTAGCAGATCTGTTCTCACAGCTCTAGAATACCCCACTAAAAAGCTAAAGTGATGCTTAAATTTAAGAAGTATTCATAAATACACACACACATAGTTTGTTCATTTTTATATTATATAATTTTACAGTTTATTCCATAACTAGGTTTGACGTAACAATGCTGACATTAAATATGCAATTAATCTAAATCCTCTTGACAATCTTTAAACTTTTTTAACAATGCATTATTAAGCATTGTGGAATGCAAAACTAAACTGTAATGCATACTTCATTTTTTTAACTGCAAAATGCTGCGTAACAAAAAGGAAATTTTGTTGAAAATCAGATATTCTTTTTTGATGGTAAATATCTAATTTACTTTTTATCCCCATTTTCAGATTTCTAAAATTTTGTTGAATTGTTTCACCCCCCCCCAGTATCAGATTTTTAATTTAACTAATGTTGGCCTTTGGAATATTCAGGCTTGAATTTTGCACTTCAATGCAGTTGTTATTAAGTATACTGGAAAACATTTTCTGCATGTAAAGCAATTTTAAAAAAATTAGCTGACAAATTATGTGATTTACAGATTATCAAAAAATAACTTGAAGTTTTGTAAAAAAAAGTAGCATTAAGCTTGAAAGTGTAGCATTAAGCATGTGAAATATAGGTAGGTATTAGTTTTTATCATTTGTCATCACAGAATGAAAATATGTTGCAAAAAGTTAAAATTTGCCTCATGTTAGCTTTGGGCAGGTATTTGCAAACTTCATGTGTGCACTAATGTGAATGAGTGAAGTATAAGCCACTGCATAAATAAACCAAAGAAATTAATTTTAGTATTATTAATTGTATTGAAATAATTTTGCAACCACTTTTAGCTATTAATATTGGTATGAGCTCTGCTTAAAATACACCATTATTATGCTTAAAATGCATCATTGTAATGCTGATTGTTTTCATATGAATAGTGCATCAGTTCGGGCCCACTAGTATAGCTGTGTTGTTAAGACTGCCAAGTACTGGTAGTTTGATCCCAATGTAAATGGTCCAGCTGAATGGTTGGTTTTCGTGGTTTTCCCCATGTGTGTAACATGAGTACAAGTTAGTTCCTTTAGTTCCTCCGTGAAGGCATCCCTCCACTTAAGCAGATAGCTATCATAACTTTGCCAGATTCAATAAATTAAGCCATTGCAGTAAACAATGGTTTAACTCAACATGTTTAATGCATAGCTGCAAACTTTAAGTAAGATTCTTAAATAATACAGTAGTGTACGTACTGAGTGCATCTAAATCTGCTAATAGTGCTTCCAAGAAGAAAAAAAAAGGAAAAAAAAAAAAAATGTCATGCCATTTCAATAAAAATGATTAACTACTACTTCTCATGTACTGTAGATTTTTCAGACTTTTATTTTCTAGGAATTTTTAATTTTTGATAGCTAATATTAGCAGCATGTATAATAATTATAGTACGTGTAAGGTAACATAAGTATGGGATAATGGGGTAGATGACAGTTCATTTTGCAAGCAGATGATCTAAACATATATGAATGATAGGTGCATTTTTTTTCTTGTTTATGAATTTTTTTCTTTCTGAAAAAAGTTTTTTATCTAGCTTCATTAAAGAAAGCATGCAATTTTGGTCAATAGCTAGCCATTAATTGTTAAATGTTTTTAGAAGTAAAACTTTAATATATATGTTCATATATTGATTTAGGACTGCATAATACTGGTACTTCTAATCCTTATATACTTTAGAGATCTGCTATCTGTTTTTTAATAAGCTATGTTTGAAGTTGGTTTAAAACATTTCATTACATACTTACAGATGCAACTGGCTCAACATCTTTTATTTATTTCATAAATTAGGTTCTGCTTTTGCAAAAGCAAAGCCTCAACATAGCTGGATTGCTGCTACAGTATCTGGCATCAGACGTGTTTTTCTACTCCCATTTTTTTACAATTGGTAATGTTATATTTTTATGTAATTAAATAAAAGGGTTTGCTTTAACTTAAAATATATTTGATTAAATTTATAATTTATAAATAATGGAAGTACATAAAGTTGAACCTCCTTGTAAAGTTCATGTGGATACAGAATCATTCCATTTATATATAGGGTCACATTTTTAAAAAGTTCTGTTTGAAGATATTTCATTTCATTATTTAAGTTAATTGCATATAATATCAGATGTGAAATGTCAGTATCACTTACAGGATCACTTCAGTTTTATAAAACCAGGTTAAGAATTTCAGTATTTTCCAGGAAATTTTCTTTCTAGTAAAATGGTTTTTATTCTGTTGTAATAATAGTTTTTTAACGAGTTGTTCCCTTTGTTTCCCTATTTCCTTTATGTCTTCACTCACAGAATAAGAATGATAAAGCATAGTTTTAAAATTATCTTGGAAGTGACTTTAGTTCTTTCAAAATTAATTAAATAACATCTATTGGATAAGTCATCTTCAGCTCTGACTTTCATTTATTGGTTCTGTATCTGCTTTATCTGTATTTTCCAACATGAGAATGTGATGTTCCAGATGTATTGGAACATGCTGGGGCAGACGATGATGCTTTGAAAAAAAGAATAGAATAGACAGATCTGGCGATCGGATCTTATTATGTTTTGGTGGCCCTTTTTATTCTCAAAATTCTCTTTTGCCAGATTTGCAGGCAGATTAAGGAAAAGTTCCGAAAATTGTTTATTCCTGATTTCTTTGAAAGAGATATCAAATAGTTTAATCTGCATCTCTTTGCTTTGGTCTGAATAAATAAAAGAATATGAATTAATTTAAAACAGAATAATATCATTATTTACTTAAATTTTAACTGTGCTAACAAAATTCTATGTTGAATATTTAAATTTATAAATCGAGTGCCACTATTTAATTAAAAATGTTTACTTCTCCATATCATTCATTAGGCGTATATTTACAACTGTGAAAGCCCTTCCCGGCATATAAAATCACATTATTAGAATCACTTTTGCCATTTTCTGGAAAGACTTCATAATAAAGTTTGACTGTGTTTGAGTAGTTTTTTTTTTTTTTTTTTTTTTTTTTTTTTTTTACTTTTAAAAAAATAAAAGGGGGAAGAAAATTCCATGTCTATTAACCCAAAAGGCACAACATTTGATTTTTAGCTTTGTTATGAATGAAAATGCCATGATTTGTAGTGTTAAAATTATTTAAGTTATGAATATTTTTGGATTATTTTAGTGTTTTTAATAGTTTTTTTTTTTTTGATAAATTTATAAAGAAATATGTTAGATAAAAGATATTTTAAAATATCATTTTTCTTGTATTAAATTTAGTTTTCCTTCTTTAGGTGGCAACAGCAAACAAATACTCTGGTCACATGCATGCTTATCCTTTTATATAGTTTAAAAATTGCAGCTATTTATTTATATTTTTCTGCTGATGATGATGAATTTCCAGTATGTATGTTTTCTTATTTGATAAATATTTAGTATCTGTCATTTTAATATATTTTGTATTAATAAATGCATAATTTAATTTTGCAGTTTTTATAAATTGAATACCAATATTTTATTTCAAAATATTAAAGGAACTAAAATACATCTGGCTAATATTTTTATTGTAAGCTACAAATTTATTATTGAATAAATGTTAAGGATTTTTAGTGATAATTAGTAATCTAATGATTAAACAAAATTCCAGACTATCAAACTGAAATTCTCCTTTGTATTACATAAGCTGGTACTATTCCGTTTTGAGGACCGTAAAAAAATTGCAGCGAAAATGTATGTGCAAAAGCGCCAAATCTAGCAAACATGCGCATTTAACAGCGTGACAAATCTAGTGTATGTGCTGATTTCAGATTGCGTAAGTTTATATAGTTCTATATTTCTTAAGACGCCATTGAAATATTAGTTTAATTTTTTTTTTTTTTTTTTTTTAAATTTTAAATTCTTTTTTGATATCCTATGGTTTTAAAAATTTGGGAATTGCCCATGACGAAAAGTGTGCAATAGAATTTTGGGTAAGTGCAGAATTACCCACTGCTTGACGCGTTTTTAAGAATTGCACATACTCGGTACCCATGTACACATCGACCTAATTTCACTTAAACAAAAAGTCTCAGAATTGCACAAAAATGGCACTGTGCACACCCTTAACTTTATTTATGTACACATCAACCTATTTTCGCTTTAAAAGAAAATTGACAAAAATCCAATTGTTTTGAACTCTTGTAAAAAGTGGCAAACAAATAAGTGAGCGCTTTGCCAAGAATTTTTTCAAAGAATAGGCATCATTCATTATAGAAAATTATGTTTGAACAACCAACGAGATGAAACTATGCTTTAGTGATAACTCACTAAGCGAAATAGCGATGCGGGCATCCATTCAGCTATGTTTAGCAATTTTTATATAAATTATAATAGTGATCTGGAATAGTTATTTACTCTTATGCTTCCATTCAGTCATGTTTAGCCTTTTTTACATAAATTATAATAATAAAAAATATTACCGTAATTTTCAGAAGAAACACCACGGCGTTTACGTGTTTAAAACTTAAATTTTCAGCAGGTGCAGCTAAAAATAAAATATTTCCTATGATGGTCATTGTACATAGTTTGAATAAACTTGTCATTGTACATAGTTTGGATGGCCTTGTCATTGTACATAGACTGGTGCTGTTCCCACACAAAAGACCACTCAGTTGCTTTTTGCGAACGTTATTTTGTTTATATTCTATCCCTTGAACGGACCTACATGCCTTATTCATCCTAAACGGGATCTCAGAACAATAACATTCTTTCCCCTTTCAAATCAGCATTCTCATCAGTTTGAATAGTCACTCTCCTCTGCCATTCCATGAATCTTCCAGGACCCATCCTCTCCCCACCCCTGCCTTTTCTGCAATTTTTTTCAAAGGCGGACATAACTCCGCCTGCCTCACAGTAACGAACTCTGGCGTATTTTCCCTTCAGCATGAATCATTATTTCTTGGCATTCTGCCAGATACAGATCCCATCAGTTTGGGTACAAGTACTTGTTGGATAGTTTTTAAGTAAGAAGGGAGCGGAAAATTTTTGGAAATGGCACCTAAATGGCACAGAAGCTATAGTGCTGGTTTTAAGCTTAATGTAATTTCACGGGCTGAACAAATTGGAAATGGGTCAGCAGCTCGAGAGTTTGAAGTGAACAAGAGATGTATTCGACGTTGGAGAACTGAAAAGAAAACTTAAAAATATGCCACAACAGAAACGAGCCAAAAGAAGTGGTACTGTAAGGTGGCCGAATCTAGAGGACGACCTTGCAAACTGGATAAAGGAGCAACAAGGAAAGGGAATGGCAATTTCGACTGTAAAAATTCGCTTACAAGCAAAATTTATAGCAAAACAAATGAACATAAATGATTTCAAAGGAGGGCCTTGCTAGTGTAGCAGATTTATGAAAAGAAAAAATATTTCTGTGTGTATTAGAACAACAGTTGGGCAACAATTACCAATAAACTGGCAGGATAAAAAGACATCTTTTCTAAAATATGTGACATATTATTGACCAAAAAAAAACTTCTTCGGTCACGGATAATAAGTATGGATGAAGCGCCGTTAGCTTTCAACTTGCCTGCAAACAGAACTGTTGATGAAACTGGTGCAAAAACTGTGCTTACGACGGGGCATGAAAGAATGTCATTTACATGTGTGTTAGCTTGTGCCGCAAACGGTGACAAGCTAAAGCCAATGATCATTTTTTAATGGAAAACTATTCCGAAGGGAAATTTTCCTAATGACATAATTATTTGTGCAAACGAGAATGGCTGGATGTGCGAAACAATCATGCATCAGTGGCTACAAAAAGTTTGGCAGTGTCATAAGGGATCTTTTTTCCAACCAAAAGGGTTATTGATAATGGATTCCATGCGTGCTCATTTACTTGACTCAGTGAAAACCATATGTCAAAAATTGTCTACGACCATAGAAATAATTCCTGGTGGTTTGAAAAAAATCTTACAACCATTATTTTTCAAGTAATAAATCCTTCAAAGCTGAAGTCCGAAAGCGGTGGGAGTGTTGGATGAGTGGAGGATTGCATACGTATACCAAAAGCAGTAAAATGCGTAGAGCATCTTATGAAGAAGTTGCAAAGTGGGGAGGAAGTGCATGGAAATCGGTAAAAACATCATCAATAATAGCAGGGTTCAAAGAAGCTGAAATTATATCCTTAGATAAAGAGACAGAGACTGTAAACCAAGAGGATGAATGTGACAATCTGGAAGACTTGGATCAGGATTTACTAAATCTTTTTAATTCAGGTAGTGAAGAATCAGATTTTGATGGCTTCATATGATGTATAGGTTACTGTAATTCCTTTTGTAAGTAAAATTTAAAATTTCCTTTTGTCATCCAAATTTAATATTTCGTTGTTGCAACATTTTTTATAATGTAGTCAGAGTATTACAAATATGGACTTCTTTAGTGGGTAAATATAAGTATATTCGTAAACGTAAATATATTTTCAACATTTCTTTAATTTATTTTTGAGTTATGGTTTCATTTCATGCATTTTTCTTAACTGATATATCATATATCAGGACACATGTTGAGATTTTGCATCTATACAGCCCACAATGATGTCGAGCGCAATTTAATCTATTGCGGCGTTTCTGTGTAATTTTAATTTTTTCCCGCCATTTTTCTTGAATGCAGCCTTTCTTCCGGAAGTTACGGTATATGAAATTAACCTTTCATCTAAATTAAAACATCAATCGTAGATAGTTATTTACTACTATACTTCCTTTCTTGCGTTAGGGTTGCGGCTTTTATTTTTGGCAGCACTGGCATCAACAATAGTTTGGCGATTTTTTACGGCCCTCAAAACCAAATAGTACCCATAAGCTTTATTGTTTTCTGTTTGGTAATCTAATTTTGTTTCATATATGCCATATTTCTTTGATATTAAGATGAATTCCAGATTCTGGCAATACCAAAAATTCTAAGATCAATGAATGAACTAAAACACAAGTACTTCTCAGTTAATGGTGGCCCTTTGAGTGGCAGTAAAATGCCAAGTATAACTAGCTTTTATTTTACTTCTTGTGTTCCGTCATTATGGTAATCTGTTAGCTGGACTCATTTTTCATCACAAATTTGAAATTTTTTATAATTCATTCTCTTAGAATAATAATTTGCACACAAAGTTTAATTTGAATTTGAGATTTTCCTTCAAGTCATACCTCTTAGGTTTATAAAGAATAAGTCATTTGTTTCTTCTGCTATTGAATGCAACAAATGCAGAATCGGTTTTGAAAAAAAAAAAAAAAAAATATCTTTTTATGTGTTTTATTTTTATTAATGCTGCAGTCATTTGATAAATTGTTATTCCACATAAAATGGATAATGCTCTGCAGTTTTTTTTTAACCAAAAAAAAAGATCATAGCATAAGCTTTTCCTAAAAACAAAGTTTTTCTCTTAATCCTAATGTTTAGTTGCATTAGTATTTGTAGATTCAATATGAATGAATTTATGACCTTTTAGCCATTTGGAAAATTAATTTATTCTGACACGAATGTATGATTGGGGGGATGAGAAAACATTGCCATTTCATGTTGGCACATGTGCATGGCAGTTGTTGTGAAAGGGTTAAAGCATCAGCAGATGAAAATGCTAAAGCGGCATATCGCTCATAATCAGAGCTGGCAAAAATACTATAATAACATGCAGTTGCCAGAAGCTTTCTGAACAAAGAATGAAAACCCTCAGCTTAAGTACACAGAATGCTAATTTGCATTTGGGCAAATATGGAAAAGAGAAGTTGTAGTATGTTGTTAAATCATAATAATTAGTTAATTAACATAAGATACTGTACTACTCCTATAACTTTAAAAAGACCTCTGTGTGACTGATTGCCTCAAGCTTACTGATGGTTCTCCATCTCAATTCATTGTCAAAATCAGGATTTCTTAAACTTTTTTCAGTTGTGACCCCTTTTTATCTCTGAGATTTTTTTTTTTTTGCGACCCCCAGGACCCAATAATATTTATGAAAATTAAGTAGGATCACATAAGCATTGCACAAATCCGACACACACACATGCATGCGTGAAACTGTCAATTTTTTCACTTGTACTCTAATATACTATTGCAGTTTTAGATCATTAACTCTAATTTCTAATTTTAAGACATAGAATAGTGTGAAAATTTTAAATAAGTAATAGATGAAATGACAGCATCACTTGCAAAGCAAGTAAAATGAACATTTCTATTATAAAAAGAATGTGTCAAAACGTTTTCCTTTTTTCTTTGTCTGTATTGTTTTATCTTTATCTACGAGGGCCATCCAGGAAGTAGATTACGTTTCCGTCTGTGTCCGCTAGGGGCGGGGCTAGCGCGGCCATCTTGGGGTCAGAGCGTTGCGCAGCTCAGTCTGCATCTAGCCGTGCTAGTGAGAGGTTCGTGCTGTGCTCCGTTCAGATACTGTGACGGTTTGAAATGTCTGCGTTAATTGAAAATCCCGCGAGCTGCGAGGTGCGCTCAGTAATAAGGTTTCTGACTGCAAAAAACTGTAAACCGATAGAAATCTATCGGCAAGCTTCGTGAAGTGTATGGGGACAACATTATCACTGAAGGTGGAGTGCGTCAGTGGGTCATAAGATTTCAAAATGGCCGAACCAATGTTTCACGACGAAGATCGAAGTGGGAGACCCGGCATAGTGACCGCCGAACTTCTCGAAAAGTCGATGCCTAAAGTCCGTGAAAATCGAAATTTCACAATAACGGAACTTTCTTTGAGTTTTTCCACAAATTTCGCGAAGTTTGTTGTGCACGAAATCATCAGCGAAAAGCTTGGTTACCACAAGTTTTGTGCAAGATGGATTCCAAAAATCTTGACAGAGGACCACAAAAATCAGCGAATGGCTGCAGCAGCGTTGAACTTTTTGGACGCTTACCATAAGGATGGTGACTCTTTACTCGATCGCATCGTACTGGTGACGAAACATGGGTGAAACATGTGAACTGTGAAACGAAATTGCAATCAATGCAGTGGGGGCACACAAGTTCTCCCCAAAAACCCAAGAAATGCATGCAAACAATGTCGGCAAGGAAGATGATGGCGACTGTTTTTTGGGACAGAAAAGGTGTAATTTTGGTGGACTTCCTGGAAAGAGGCACTACAATAAACTCTCAAAGGTATTGCCAAACTCTCCAAAAACTCAGAAGAGCAATTCAAAACAAGCGCAGAGGAATGTTGAGCTCTAAGATCTTGTTGATTCACGACAACGCCCGGCCCCACACGGCAAATGTCACTCGTAAAGTTCTTGAATCTTTTAAGTGGGAGTTGTTTTCCTCATCCGCCGTACAGTCCCGACCTGGCACCGAGCGACTTCCACCTATTCCCAGCAATGAAGAAGTGGCTGGCTATGCAGCGTTTTGATGAAGACGCACAGCTGCAAGAAGAGGTAACGAAGTGGTTGAAGGCGCAGGCGGCCGAATTTTTCGACGAAGGAATTTCCAAGCTCGTACATCGCTACGATAAATGCCTTAATTTGTATGGTGACTATGTAGAAAAGTAGTATTTGAGTGTGGCTTTCATCTGTATATAATAAAATTTGTTTCCTATACTTTGTTTATTTTTTTATTCCAAAACGTAATCTACTTTCTGGATAGCCCTCGTATTTTCAGATACATTGTGTAAAAATATTTGGTAACTGTACAATTATTCGAATAAGTTAAAGAAAGTCACAACCCTTAATTTAAGAAATGCTGGTCTAAATGAATGTTGGAAATCCTTTTACATAAAATCAGCCAGTTTTGTGATTTATCTTGTAGGATAACACAGTTTCTTATAGGAACACAGTTCCATAAACAAATTTCACATATTTAGAAATGGGACACTTTCATGTTTTCTGAAAAAACTTGTTCTTTTACCTTATGACAACCACTAGAGACTTGCATAACATTTACTATTCCCCAAATTATATACGATATCAGTTTTCATTATATTAATGGTAGCTATTTTGAATTATTTCACACAAGTGTGTTTAACTTGAATTTGGGCAACAGGGTATGTATATCATTTTCTGAGTCAAAAAGAGTGGCGTTCAGTGATGACTTCACAGTATTATTGCCACTTATGTAAACAAGTGTGCTGGAGCCCCTATGATAAGCACTCACAGAAATGAAATATAAATGAATGAATGTGGAGCCCCTAAGCTCATAAGGCCTCTGAGCAAGTTCCCAGTGGGCCTATGCTTTAATGATCCTGGTTTTGGTAATGGTATTTTTTAAATGAACAAAATGTGTGAAATGAAATGTTCAGTGCTATGTCCTAAACCTATTTGAAGAACAGTAATATAGATGTGTATATATATATATATATAGAGAGAGAGAGAGAGAGAATCTGTGTTTTCAGATGTATATATATACACATAGATTCTAAGATGTATAGTACTTTCAAAGATATTTGTGTGTTGTGGGGGGGGGAGAATTTACATCCTTGAATTCAATAAATACTATATGTTCAGTATACCGTATGTATACTAAAATACTATATATTTCTTCATTACCCTAATAATGGATTTAGAAATTATTAAGGGTTTTGGGGGATAAGCAAAATAGTAACTTTTAAAGATATCAAAACATGAATGAAAGTATGTAAAAAATAGCCTTTTTCTTTCTTTTTGCTTTTTTATAAGATGACTCAGAAAAATAAAATAGAAATATATTGGTTTTCTAGTAAATCATAACAAATTTAGTATATTAAAATATCTTTGTGTAAAATTAAAACAAAAAAAATTATTAAAAGAATTTTGTTTTTAGCTAAATTTTTCAATTTTTCTGTTACAAAAATGTTTATTTTGTAATAGTTGCATTGTGTTGAAATTTGGCTTTGATCTATTATAGATAAAAGAAAAATTTTAACTCTTTAAAAATTATAAGCTTTCTGTAGAAAAAGAATTGATTTCAGCAATTTTATGCATTTTTAATTATTCTTAACATTAAAATTAAAATTTATTGAGATTTATACATTAAAAATAAAAAAGATGTTAATTTTTCACTTATATATTGATCTCTTAATGTAATCAATAAACCTCAAAATAATAAGCAATATTGTGTAATTGTATTTTTTATGTAGGATGTACCTGTATCTGAAATTCTAACGCCCACAGCAATGATGTTCATGTTGGGCATTATTCATTCACAGATTGTAGCTACTTTTTGTAGCAAAAAGGCACCTAAACCTATAACTCGAACAAAAAGGTATTTTTATTATATGTAACTTTATATAGTAGTTTGCTAAAATCATCCTTTTTTTTCCCCTTCCCTTCTTTCCTTCTCAAATCCCTCAACTTCCTTCTCAAATCCCTGAATATGTGCCCATGTTTATCCTGATCATATGTGCATAAATATGCAGTGCAGTTTAGACCGTTGTTTCATTATGTGTGTAATTTTTGAGGAAAAGGCGAATCCCCCCCTCCCTCCAACAGAGTGTTAAGCAATAAAAATGCTGAAACAGTGCTTAATATTGTGCAATATTTTTCAAATTTTATGCTTTTTTGTGTTAAAAATCCATAACTTTCATATACAGGGCATGTCTAAATTGTTTTTACAGAATAACAGGGGTGATAGTGCCCATCCAGATGAGCAGTAATTGCCATGGAACACACAATAGCAGGAATCTTCAACAGGTTGCACCAGTCATTCAATCGCTGGTGTGAACCGTGCAACAATATGCATGGCCACCACTTTTGAGCTCTTGCTGTGAGTTTTTGTCTGATCAATAAATCAGATTGTGGAACTTTTGTTATCATTGATTCGCTTTTCCAACATTGTTGTAAGTTCAGGTTGGAATTCTACTTTTACTCCTTTCATCTTCTCAGAGTGGAGTTTGACCTTATGTTCCATGGTAATTATTGATCTGTATGGGTATTCTCATTTTGTAAAAACAATTTAGACTTACCCTGTTTATATGTGAAAATAGAGATGCTCTGCAGATTTATACTGTAGTAAATGCAGGGCAGCATGCATTTATTACTTTATGTAATTTTGGTAAAGTCTTACTGTATTTAATTTTTCGCTTAAACTTTACATTTTTATAATTAACAGCATTGAATATTAACATGCAGTGCTGCATAATAGTGTATATGGTTTTACATAATAGTGTTAGATCTTAAAAGATATTGTTTTCAGGTACTGTGAATTTTAATTATGTTGATTAGGGACACCCTTACAGGTAATAAAATTAGGCAAAACACTGTTTTAGATTGACATTGGTTTTGCAGAAAAATGCTGCATTTGAAGGGGAATTGTTTTTAAAGAAATGAATATTTGTTTTTAAAGAAAAAAAAAAAAGTATTCTGAATAGTTGGCAGAATGTTTTAAATCTTGGGAAAAAAATACTTATCCCAATCTTCATCAAAATATTTAAAAACTTTTCTGTGAAACCTGTGTCAATCTGAGAATCAATTTTGCCTAATTTTATGTTTCAGCTGTCATACTTGTCCTTTCATGCATTACTAACTATTCTTTTTCTTACATTAACTATCATTTTCTAATGTATACATGTAACATATACTTTGTTTAAACCATATGTTGTGACGATAGCTCACTCACATAAATTAATAAATATTCCACTGAACTGTAAATTGCACTGAATTTAACTCACTTCTTTATATTTAAATACTCATGGCTTCAATGAGCCGAAGACATACACACTCTCTCTCTCGTTCGTCGTCATCGGCCATACCTGTCATGTCACCACACGTGACTGCTCTGCAGAAGCGCAGGCGCATACATACCGCCCTGCGCTGCAGTGTGTTAACATACAACAATTGAAATGAGATATATATGTAATGATATTTTAAATCAGTTGATTAAATTAAATTCTAATCATATTGCTTAATAATGTGTTGGTGATTCTCTACCTAAATTGCATCCCTGTTCCTAAATTTTGGCGAAATCCTTTCTTTATTATAAATTATATGAATTTGTTGGCACCCACCAAATCGCCAAACTCATAAATCTGTCATATTACATAAAGTCCTTAAGAACACTCCTGATGAGAAGATAGCGTCACCTCGTGATTTCAATTAATATCACTGATTGCATGAGCACCATGATGCACACATTTCTATAAATAGGGCTTCTCTTCAAGGTACAGGAGGAACGCTTGTGAGATGGATGCTAAAATAAACGTATCACTTTATATTCCAAAATTTGTCTCATTCCTGTTCCCCCGGCTGCACAACACAAATAATGTACGAGATTCTACATTTCATATATAAACAAATTAACATAAAAAGCATCAACCATAATATGACATTTAACATATAAATCAACATGAAATACAATTACACAGCAATACTTTATGTGTAACATATTCAATACCACAATAATGATAAGGCAATATTCATTTTTGTAGTGGTAATACACATAATTTTGTAGTTGGTCGTTTGAATGTACCATTCTGAGTTTAAACATTGCACACATGAACCTTTCTATTTTTACCATAAAATACATCTATTATTCTACCAATTAACCAATTACGACAAGGCAAATTATCCTTAATTAAAACCATGTCTCCAACATTTATATTTTTCTTTGAGATTTGCCATTTAGATTGATTTTGTAAGTGACTTAAATAACTGGAGTTCCGTTTCTTCCAAATAATTTGTACAAACTTTGTGATTTACTGCCATAATTTTAATCTATGAACATTAACATTTGTGATATCTGGCTCAGGATTGCCAATCAAAAAATGTCCTGGTGTTAGAACTTCTAAATGATCGATATCTAAAGATAGGGGTGTCAGAGGTCACTAATTTTAAAATCTCTTCAATTTGTGTCAAAACTGTTAAAAATTGTTCGAATAACAATTGCATTACTTACGACATGTTTCAAATAATACTTGAAAGACTTCACTCCAGCCTCCCAAAGGCCTCCAAAACTGGATGCCCTTGGAGGGAGAATTTTCCATTCGTTATTGTCAGAACTCAAATAGCCAGCCAAAAGCTCATCTTGTTCACTTGCTAATTTGTTTAACTTTTTGAATTCTTTATTTGCACCTACAAAATTCGTAGCATTATCACTAAATAGGTTCGAACACTTACCTCTTTGGGCAAAGAAGCGTTTCAAGGTAGCAATTAATGCTTCAGGCATTAGGTCTGTTACCATTTCCAAATGAATGGCTTTAGTAACCATGCAAATGAATATACATAAATAAACCTTTTGATATATAGATTTTCTCTAGTTTTTATATTTCAAGTATGGGCCGCAGAGGTCAACTCCAGTACAATTAAATGTAAGATTAGCTGTAATTATTTCATTAGGTAGATCACCCATTATTTGCTGATATACTGTGGGATTAGCTTTGAAACATGTTATCCATTGTTTTATAATCTTCCTACAAATATTTCTACCATTTACAATCCACAATTTTTATCTATGATAATGATTGGGGACCTACATGCAGGTATTTAAAATGACAGTAATTAACTATTATCTCTGTAATTTATATTTAGAAGGCAGAATAACAGGAAATTTTTTCTCATAAATTAAATTGCTATTTCTTAATTTACCTCCTACTGTAAGTAACCCATTATTATCATTTAAAGGGGTTAAGATTTTTAATAGAATTATCCCTTGCAATCATACCTGATTTTTTAAGACCATTTATCTCAGTTATAAAATACTCACCTTGCATTAATTTTAATAAAGTTTCTTCAGCTGCTCTTAATTCTTCCACTTATAATTTACCTACCTTCTTTGGTTCTTGTTTACAATTCTTATAAAACCTAAAACAAAAACTTATAATACGAATTAATTTTTTATACTTATTGCTATGATTCAATAACTCATTAACCAAAGACATTCACATTTAGATTTAAATGTGTTAGCAGTTTAGAGTTAGCACAGTTTTTAAGTTCTTTTGTTTCTCCTTCAATTACTGCTTCTGGCACAGTTCTACTAGGGTACTTTATCCTTCATTAAAAAGTCAAGCCCATTCCACCACAGTTGGCTTAGTTGCAGTTTTTTAACATTCATACCTATGGATATAAAATCAGATGAGTTTTCTTCAGACACGATGTAATGCCACTGTTCAATTTCAGTAAGATCCTGTATCTTCGATATCCGGTTTGCAACAAACATCTCGAACATATGCTTCTCCTTTTTAATCCGCAACAGCACAATCATAGAATCATTCCAAAGGTGAATAGAGGAAAGCTCCATTTCCAAAGCTGATCTCACTCGATGCATTAATTTCGCCAAGAGAACTGCTGTTGTTATGTCGTGAATTTTAATTATTAATATGTGTTTTAAGTTATCATTATTCTTGTGTTTTTTGTTTGTTTGTACTCATGTATATTTTAATCTGGGATAAAAGTATTCTTAAATTGTTAGGGCTTTATTTAACTCATTATTCTTGAGTAGAAAATGTAGCAAAGGCGAGAGACTTGCGAGGAAACACATCTGTTTTATTGGTTTATGGCCTTTTTACTAACAATTGAGGCAGTAGGGTGTTGTGTTGTCACCTTTTACTAATGGCGTTTGAAACGAAAATCGTCTTGCTTTCGCTTTGTTATACAGTCAAAAGTCGTTAATTCGGACACCCATAATCCGGACCTCAAAGCTACAAACTTTCTGTACATGTGTCACATTGACGCATGCGCGTAAGATCTTTACGGCTGCGAATATGCGTGTGCGCATGCGGAAATTACGTTTATGCATGCAAGTTTAATGTATAACGGATGGTATAAGCTAAGCTAAAATTATCTAATTCAGTTAATGTTGCAGATTGTGTTGTTCCTTAATCTTCGAATTGGATCCGGCTTATTATTTTTTGCAGACTGTTAGAGCAATTTTATAAAAGTAAGCTTGAACTTTCGATTATGTCAAATAGAATTTCCGATATATATTTACTAATATGTAAAGGATTTACAAGGCAAAAGTATGTTTCAAAGTCCATTAAACAAAAGTGGAATTGCTGCAAAAAATGACGTCACCATTCCGAAATCTGTTTATCAATTTCACGCTGGTGTGCGGCGGGGGGATGGAACGCCGCGGCGCGCAATGAATTGGAAGTTGATCTGTCAGCACTATCCTTATCTTCAGGGCAGATGTTTTCATTTTATTTGGCTTATAATTCCTTATTAAATGTAGTATTTCATTTGGATGTATTCCGTCTTTGATATGATTTAAATCAAATTCCTCATCATTATAATTTGCTTCCGATAGTGAAGAAAGTGACAGAGATGTTATTGAAAACGAAAAAAATTTCGATTGACAAATTAGTCGGTATTCTCGACACAGCAATTATAGGACTTGAACAGCGGAACTTTGTAACTGAACAAGAAATTATGTCTGTTTATAGAATTAAAGAGAAAGTATTATCACATAAAACGAAGCAACTTAAACAATTTACATTGAAAGAAATGTTTAATAAAGTAAACAAATAAATATTAAGCTTTTTTTTTTGTAAATTTTGATACCCTTTAGATCATAATTGTTCTTTATTTCGTAAAGTACGGTTTCATATTTTTAATTTTATAATTTCTGCATGCCATCTTACCAGATTTAAACTGATGATCTATAATCCGGAATCGCCGAAGTCCCGACGAGTCCGGGTTAATGACTTTTGACTGTAGTTGCAATTTTGTTTACTTCAAGACAGTGAGGGGGGGGGTTGTTATAAGCTTAGGTAAATGAATTCTCGTAAAGCTTAGTTTCCACTTGTTAGTTGGGGGGGTCCACTTTAATTCCCACGTTGTGTGTACAGATGTTTTTTAGGCTGCATTGTCAGATTTTCTGGTGTTTGATTCGTCATGGAGGTGGAATTTTTTCTCAGTTTAGATAAAGTTAAATTCTGACATTGGTAAGATTTAATTTGATGATTTTTTGTAGGCCTATGAACTTACAGAGGCAGAGAAACTGAGATTTCCTGGGAGGTTTGCACTTTGTTAGATTCATTCGGATACTGATTTTTGAAGAAGAAGGGAAAAGAAAAGTGGGGCTTTACCCCTTGCGGGTCTTGCTCTCGTGAGCGCCGGCTATTGAGTAGGATTTGGAAACAGATTTGAGTTGCGAAGATGTAAAGCAGCAAAAGACAAAGTTTGGTGGGGCTTGACCTCCTGCGGGGAGCTTGCGCCTTGGTGTGAGGCGAGGTTTCTCGCGGCTTTTCCGCTGATGAGAATTTTTCCAAACGAAGAAAGTACTCTATGCAAAATTTGATTTCACCATTTCATCGTGTATTTTGAGATCTTTGAATAGTCATGTTAGAGTCTTTACAGTTAGAATTGTTCATTATAGACAGAAGAGATTTATTACAGCTAAGAAGTTTTTGCCAAAAGTGCTCTATGCAAAATTTAGTTTCGCTGCTTCATCGTGTATTTTGAAGAACTTGAATAGTCATGTTTGAGACATTCCATTTGAAGGAATTTGTCATGAGATACATATTTGTTCCAGAACGAGGTATCATGTTCCCCTTGTTCCTGAAATCAATGGACGCTTCCAAAAGTGTTTTGACAGGGGGGGGGAAATGGTCTTTGCTCATTTCTCAGTGGATTGGATTGGACACTAAAGATTTTTGTGTTCAGAAAATTGTTTCTCACCTAATGGACAGATAATGCTATTTGAAGAATTATTAGACTGTAGTTTCCACTCGTGATTTCTAATCATTTTATATGCTTTTGAAAGGATTATGACAGAAGGAAAATGGGCTTGGCTCATTTCCCTGTAGATTGGACACTAAGGATCCTGCTACCCGGAAAAGCGAGTGAAAAAATTTTAAGATTATTTTCTCTCTTTTCTTAGTTTTCCAAATGCTGTGGTGGAACAGTTAATAATGATTTATCTACCATGTATATATTGACATTAATTATATAAATTAAATATTACAGTTAGTAAAACTGAGAAGTGATTTATAATGGCCCTTTATAAGCCCAGTTTTAGAAGGATTAAAATTTGTTTCACCTATTTAATTTGTAATTAGAAAAATGTTAATTCCTAATTAATGAGAACCATTTATTTGGAGAATTAAAATATGTAACACCTTCTTAATTTGTAAAAAAAAATTAATTATTAATTAAATGTTTTAATAATAAAAATATGTGGTAGGGGATACTAATCAGTTACCCAACTATTTACTAATAATATTATTATATTCAAGAATTTAATAAATGTGTTTGATTTAGAATTTTAATTGCACTTGTTTATTTTGTGTGTTAACTTACTTTGATCTGTCATGTCACTCCATTTGTTTGAGCCGGTAGGCTTTTAAGAAACATGAAGCTTTAATTGAATTTGGATTATTGATTTTCCTTTTACATAGGTTACTCACAACGAGAACCGAAAATTTAAATTGTACTACCACTATACGATTGTTTATACAATTGATTGTTCGATATGATGTATGAATGTTCATATGATTATATAATTTTTGAATTTTGTCCGGCACCACAGTCAGTTAAGTTAAAGTCATAAATGGTTAAAACACTAAATTTTCAGATATTCAACAATGTATAGAGCTCAAGTCTTGGGATTGTAATCTTCTTCAGGGGGAAGACATGCGATTTACTGCACACCAACTTTGCTGTTGTACTGCTTGATGCGGCTTTACAGTAGATAACTGCTCCATAAGCTGCCTCTGAGGCATCAAAGAAACCATGTAACTCCACTTTGATTTATCTGGTAACAAAATACATCTGTCGACTTCAATGTTGTTAATTAACTGCATGGTAGTGGAAAATTGCTTCCATTCTGCAGCTTCCTTTTTTGGCTCCTTAGAGGAGATAAGAGCACTTGCAGCAGCACGAGAAGACATTCCTACATCGCAATTCAAAGCGAGTGAAGGCTGGTTGCAGCGAATGATGAATTGAAATGGCTTTTCGTTTCACCGGTGTATGACAATATGTCAAAAAATGCCCAGTGACTATGAAGATAAGTGTGTGGAACAGATATTTTTTTTAAATAACCTATGCAAGATATTAAAAGAACTAACATTCATTTAATTTGTGTAAAAGTAAATACTAAAATTGCAAATGTTGGTTAATTTTTGCCTCTATATTGTGCTCCTGTACGAACTAATACATGCCGAGTCTTGATAACGTAAACGGGGTAATTTATATTATATATGTGAATGAGAGAAAGTGAGTTTGTAAATTTTAAGTAGCTATTAGACAACTTTAAATTTGATAAAGTTGATACTTTTATTACTTATGCCATTTTCTTCTTAGAACTTGAATTGATTGTTTGAAATGAAATTTACACCCAAAATTACTCACGAGAAACAGCGCAACATTTGATCGCACCTGCATTTTAGTAATGTAATTTTGGTAAAACAAGTGCGGACATTATGTGAGCACTTACGCTATTAAGAGAATTTCAGCTCAGCCCTCAGGCACACTTAGAACAGTTTAGAAGGAGAACACATCAGCAAAACGAAACTTACACACAATTTGCTTCACATTTGATCATGATTTGCAGTTACCATATTTAATAAGCTGTTTGTATCTATTACATTAGAAATTATTTTTTGTTAAACAATTGGTTGGCTAAATGAAGCATCCTAGCCACATGTAAATGAATACTTGTTTCTTAATATATTTTGTATTTTAAATTGCAGTTAACTTTAATTAGCAAGTCCTCGTTTAGTAAGTCCGTTTATTCAATTATTAGTTATTAAATTTCAAATGTAAGAAATGTAGATATTAAGGGAATAGAAATTGTCAAGATCACAATATTTATCTGCATATGAATGTATTACGTCCTTAAAATGAGTATAAATAATGCCTCTTCTTCTGATAGTCCTAATACATATAAACAGTGACAAAAATAAAATATATTGATTTGAAATGTATGTGTAAAAACAAAGGACTCAAATGGTTAAAGCAGTCGTAAAAGTCATACTTGATTTATGAAAAGCTTTATTTCAGTCAGCATTAAAGTTATCTATTTTTGAAATATTGTACAGAACAGTTGTTTAATATGAATTCTTATGCAATCTATAGGAAGCAAAAAGCATTTTACATATTTAGTATGTTTCTGTTTTCATGTGTAGTTACTGAGGCATATTTGCATGATGTGTAATAAGCAAGATGTTTTTGTTCTGAAGTTATTTTGCAGATTTTTTTCTTTGCTATCAATTTATTTTTTTAACAGTTGTTTTGGACATTCATGGCTGTCAGTGGTATAAATCTGTTTTATTAGCTACATGAATTATGTTTTAAAATTCTGTAAAAGATAATAACAGTTCAAATTTCACTTTATAAATGATGAACATTTGATATTCCCTTATTCAAAATTAAAAACAACCAAACTTTTTGCTGGATTTTGAAATGAATAATATAAAATATGATTGTTTTTATTTTATTTTGACCAAGTTTCTTTTATTGTTATGAAATAATTATAAAAGGATGAATAAATGATTTTATCTGTCAATCAAATTTTGTCCTTATCAAATATATTTTTATATGAATATAGGCGAAAGCTGAAGTCTAAACGTATGAAAAGGCGTTCTGATTACGATGGAGAATCAAAGTCGTCTCCTGATTCTGCATCAGAAGACAAGATACAGAACTTCAGGGATCGCCATCCTAACCAAATGGTCCAGGAGAGTTGCGATGAGCTTTATATTCCTTCTTTTCAATCAGTGCAAAGTGATCCTGAAAAGCCCGATTCAAAGTGCCAAACATGTGATTGTAAAAGATCATCTAGAAGTGGTATTCTTTATTCATTTCTTGTTTTTTATTAGCAGTCATTTCAGTTTTAGATTAAATTTGTGGTATAATATTTTCTTAGAAGTTATTGTTCTTTTTATTGGTTTTGTTACTTTTTTTTAAGTCTCGATATCTTTTTTGGCAAAGTAACTGCTTGTTGAATTGGCAAAAGATTTTTTTTTCCCTTTTATGGTATATTTTTTAATCCATAGAACTAAACATTACCATACTCCTGGTTGTTAAGATGCAGTTGAACTAAATTTACATTACATTGGTAGACCAGTGTAAAAGAGAAGTATAATTTGCAGCAAAAATCACTTTACTTAATTTATAGAAATTATTAATTAGTGAAAAGGTAATTATTTTTATTGATTAACAGTTTCTATAAATTTTGGTGCAGTCGTTGATGTAGCCATGTGAAAAGAGTAATTTTTTGTAAAATAGTTAACTCTGAATGCAACATTATTTCTGATCTTTTATGTGATTCAATTTATCTTTGTTGACATACAAATATTTATATAAAATGTGCTGTTCAAATCAAATTAATATATATACATGTACATATATCTAAAATTCTAGGTAATTAGTATTTCTTTCAACACTAAAAACTTATTACATTTTTTTCTGAAAATAAGATCTTTATAAGAGAAATGAAATTTAATATATGGATATTAAATGAAAAAAAATTAATGTACATGATCCAAATTAGTTTATCTCTAATTCTAAAAGTTAAAAAAAAAGGACAGGTATTCTGAGGTGTAATGTAAATAAATAACATGTTTTTGTTCTTGTGACTGAAATGTAATAGCAGCTTACTGTGAATCCTCTCCAAGACATTACCTATTCTTACTTCCAGATGATTTTATCTTTTGTGAAAGTGGTCTTTGTCTTTTTAGAAAAGACATCTAACAGTAATTATTAATTTGCATGTTTGATTTTATTAATTACTCTTACTTTTTTATTAGTTGATAGATTTATTTTGTTTGCAATGATAAATAGTTTATTAGTTGCAAAGAAAATTTTTGAATAATGTATTGAAGAATTTGGCAAAAAAATATGTCTTGTATTTAATTTTCAGAACTGTTTTTAAGTATAAGAAATAGATTTTCTTGTATATAGCTATAAAAACTTTGAAATGCATTAAGTAAAGTTCTGCACTCTTTCAGATTGAAGTGTGTTTACTAATTATTTTGTGACTGCTCATAAGGCATGACCTTGATTGAGACAAGATGTTTAAGTATGAGAGATGAGATGTTTAAATATGGTCTTCTGTTCATGTTGCATAATTTTTGTTCCAGAGCAGTGTTAGGAATGGAAAATTCAAAAGTTCATATTTGTCATATTGTGCTTTTTTATTTTGGAGGAAAAAAAAAAAAAAAAAAAAAAAAAAAAAAATTAGTCAGACTACTTGTAAAATTTGTGCCCCTAATAGGGCAAAAAGCTGTTTCTTATAACACAATTTGAAAGGTTTAAGTGTGGCCATTTCAGCTTCGCAAATGATGCCCATGCTGGGTGACAATTCTTCGTAAACGGGGACCTATTAAAAGAGATTCTCTTAAAATCTCATGTTATGCAATTCAGAAGCTATCTGACAGCCTAAATATTCTGAAAGGTACAGTTCATGATCATTTGAAGAAGATAAGCTATTTAAGTCATTGTGATGTATGGGTATTCCATACATTAATAGATCAGAATATGCTTGCTTTGAGTTTCAGCATGTCATTCTTTGTTGAAAAGAAATAAAGAGGCTCCTTTAAATTAAAAAATTAAAAAAAAAAAAAAAATGCTGATTACTGGAGAAATAGACTTTATATAGTAATGCTACAAGAAAAGAAATAAAAGTCCAAAAATAATCCTTTAGTAACATCAAGAGGGGTGTTGAATCCCCCCAAAAAGCAATGCTTTGTGTATGATGAGACTAGAAAAAAATATATATATATTATGAATTGTTGCCACCTTATCTGAAAAATTCAGAAAAATGCTTTAATAGCAGAAACAGAAGCTTAGCAGCCAATGCAGACCAATTATTGAGGTGTTTTATGTCTTGCATCATGACAATGCTTGACTGCACATTTGGATGAATGTCAGTTGATGAATGACTTGTGGTGAGATGTTTTTGTCACCCCCCCTATATTCACCAGACTTTGTTCTTCAGGTAACTTCAAAATTCTTTGAAGATTTTCCATCTGCTGGAGAGATGGCGAAAAGTTATAGAACAAAATGGAGCTTATCTTATTCAGTGAAATTTTCCAGTGTTTTTTTACTACTACATGTTTTTATATTTATCATAAAAAATCTGCAGAACTTTCTGGATGACCCAATAAAATCGTAATACATTCAGGAACTCGCATAATGATTTGGACACTCGAAAATTTTGTTGAGATGTTATTTCTTGTCTTATTTTTTTGTGTTAAGTAAAAATACTTCACAAGAATTGTCTGAATTTGAAAGTTATTACATGTTTAGCAAAATATATTAGGAGGGCTATATTTGAAGTAAACATGGCAAGATGCTACAAATCAGCATCTTGCCAAATACACGTTATGTTCAGAGTAGGAATTTCCACAGGATATTTAAGTGATAGAAGTATAAAAAATATTCAAAAGGTTCTTGATGCAAAACACTGTCTTTGATGCACTAAAATGATGAAAATTGCATGGAACTGTTCAAAATGTATCTGAAATCTAGACCACATTCCACGCTAACACAAAGCAGTCACAGATTTATCCTATGAAAAATCGAACAGAACTCCAAAATTAGTGTGATAAAAATTTTTAGCATATTTAGAAGACTGGTTTGCAATAAAAGTTAATTCTGAAACTGCTAGAAAACTCATTAGAGCACATAAGTTCATTTGGTGTCTGGCAAGAAGAAAATTCTTCATCAAGAAGAAAACAATGAAAATATGCCTAGAATTCACAAAATTGGTGGTAAGCAATAATTTATCAGATTGAAATAATGTTGTATTTGCAGGCGAGTCAAAATTTAATGTGTTGGAGTCCGATGGATGAATTGTTGTAAAGCAAATCTGGAAAACATACAGTACAAAGTCTGTAATCCGGACGTCCATTATCCGGAATGATCTATAATCCAGACCTCAAAGCCACAAACTTTTTTTTTTCATATGCTTTACGCATGCATGTAATACGTTTGCGCATGCGCGTTGGGAGGATGTGTCTCCAGATATGTTAAAAATGCTTGGCATAATTTTTGGCCAGCTACAATATTTCATGGTGAGGACGATGAAGATGATAGCAGTGAATTTGAAGATTTTCGGATATTGCAAACTAAAGGTGAAATTTTCCAGTTATTGGATTTTGTAAAGAAATGGGGAGAAGCGGTAATAAATGAAGATGATATAACAGAAGTTATCCCGTTTTACCTAAGATATCAGAAGAATTATGATGGAAAATGAGTATACAATCAATTATCTAATGAAAGACATCTCGTCACAACACAAACAGTTTAATATTACGATTCTATTTACAAGTCTAATTAAGTGTTAGTTTTAGCTTTGACACCTCAAAGCAATACTCAAAACATAAAGGCATAAAATATTACTCATTAGTTTTTAAATACTCATGAAAAACATCTCAAAAAGTCATTATTCTCATTACTTAAAACGAAAGTAAACAATAGAACAAACTCGAAAACGTAGATGTTAAAACTCAACTGTTGCCAATCGTGATTTACTAAATTACATCAAAATAAAGATAATAATCAGGTAGAGGTTCAACTTCACATCCTCCCACCTAAGTTAATATTTTTACCTCAAAATTTTAACTTACAAAAGAAAATTGTGAATATTTTATAAGTTACAAAAAGAAAATTATAAGTAGTTCACAAGTCCAGTCTCTTAGGTACTTTGATTGTACGACCTGCTCTAGTCTTTTGAATCTGAGGTTCAAGTCCACACACGTTATCAAAGGAAGAATTGGCACAGGTTTCACCTCCCACCTTCGCGGTTGAAAATGTCTCAATAATGGGATCATCGTTGGAAACTTCAAGTGGATACAATCTTTGAATTGGTCTTAGCAAGTGTCCATTAGCTGTTTTAAGCTTGACAAGTCTTGTAATTCCATCTTTTCCTGGAAGAATCTGAATTATTTTACCTAATGGCCAATTGATTCGCTTGGTGTTATCACTTCCTATCAATACAATATCACCAATATTCACTTTCACAGAATTTTGTTTCCTGCTTTTTGAATAAGTGCTCCTAAATATTCAGACCTAAACCTGTTTCTCAAATCCTTTTGCAAGTTTTCTCTATATTTGACTCGCTTATTAAGACTTTTATGCCCAATGTCATCAAGATCTGGAACACCACTTATTTGATTATCTTGCAGAAATAGAGATGGACTTAAAGGCATTAAAGTAGCATCACTTTCAGTTGCATATGTCAATGGATGGGAATTAATTACTGCTTCACAGTCACAGAGAGTCATGTTCATTTCTTCAGAAGTTAGCGAAGCTCTTCCTAATACTCGTCTAACAATTTCTTAAGAATTCCTATCAATCTCTCCCACCAGCCTCCCCACCAGGAGGCAGTTGGTGGGTTGAACTTCCACTGAATTGGTGGTATAGATGTGTCTTCAGTGATTTGCTTCCAGTTTAAGTCTTGAAGTACATTTGAAGCACCAACAAAATTGGTTCCGTTGTCACAGTATATGATTCTGCTCCGTCCTCTACGAGCTATAAATCTTCTAAGAGCTAGTAGAAAACTCTCAGTAGACATCGATTCAACCAACTCTAAATGGACTGCCCTATAAATGGCGCAGGTGAATAAACAAATCCAAGATTTCTTGTTGCCTTTCAGGATTACTGGTCCTGCAAGATCAACTCCACAGATTTCAAATACAGCTGCTTCTCGTAATCTATCTTCTGGAGGAGCCCAGTATGAGTTTCTAGGTTCTTTGCAGAAAATCTTCTACACACGGTGCATTGATTGATGATAGATCTCACAGTTTTACGAGCATTCAGAACCCAAAATCTCTCTCGTAGAA